AAGGGTTTGGTGGTGTCAGGGAAGAAAAAGGAGGTGATGGCGTTGAGAAAAAGAATGAGATGAGATGAGACTGGAGAAAAAGGAAATGGCTTCCTGATCTTGGAAACCATGGCCAAGAGGATGTTTTTTCCTAAGGGCAAATAGAAGCTATTGAAGGACTTTAAGAAGGCGAGTGACAGAATCTCAACCCTGAGGTCAGTTACATACATCTACTGCCTGGTTATTTGTTTTGCCTCTTTTGTCATTTTCCCTTCTCCCCTTATTGCCACCCATGGGTGTCAATCCATTTGTATCTGTCATTGCACATGGGTGCTTAAGACTTTTCATTTTAAATAATGTTTTTCTTCCCTTGGAGGAAACTTAGCAAATACAAATTCTTCCTTAAATTTTTCATGGTACTTTAAATAATTGATCCAGCACTTTTTCTGCTACTAATGGGTAGAAAAGTCAGCATCACCTCAAAGGATTGTTTGCTCGGGATAAATGGCTTTACCACTTGTGATGTCCTTTCAAGGGCTGGACTGAAAACAATTTCTGGGGGAACCCAGATCCAGGAAGAAAACATGGAGACGACTTTTGGCTCTGACTGACCTTGGGCATGCTCTTCACTTATGAGCTTTGGTGACATCCCCTGCAAAGGAGGAAAACATGATGACCCAACTCAAATGCCTCTTGGTAGAACTGAACACACACATATCCTTAGACTATATTGCACCTTGCATTAGTTTGCTAAAGCTGCTGTAACAAAGTATAACAAATTGGGTGACTTAATCAACAGAAATGTATTGTCTCACAGTTCTGCAGACTAGAAGTTGGAAATCAAAGTGTCACCTGCGTTGGTTCCTTCCGGGAGCTGTGAGGGAAGGATCTATTCCAGGCCTCTCTCCTTGGTGTGTAGACGCCTGTCTTCTCCTGTGTCTCTTCACATCATCTTCCCTGTATGCATCTCTCTGCGTCCAAATTTCCCCTTTTTATAAGGTCGCTAGTCATATTGGGTTAAGAGCCTACCCTGCTCCAGTGTGACCTCCTGTTAACTTCACATTACATCTGCATCAACTCTATTTACAAATAAGGCCACATTCTGAGGTACTGGGTGTTAGGACTTCAACACATGATTTTGGGGGAGAAAAGATTCAACTCATAACACACTCACATAGAACTTTGTGCTACACATCATAATTCCATAATATTTACTATATTCTTATATCTTCCAAAGTATTAATGAAAAAGATAAGCTCTTTCAGGTTAAATATTTACTCAAAATTCAGTTTAAGTGGAATCAACTTTTAGGCAGAATGTCCAGTCAAGGAAAAAATTGAGGGGAAAATATCCTCTCTCTAAATTGAAGAGGTAGGAAAACTGAACCTGGAAGCTGAATTCGACACTGGCACATGGTGAGGTAAGCTTTCTATTTCTCCTCTGCAATGTGTCCTTCATATTAACTCTCATGGTCAAGGTTCCTGAAGCTCTTTGATCTCCTACCTGGCAGACATCATTTTCTCCTCTCCCAGGGCTCTCTGCCTTTAGTAGACTTCTGTTACCACTATGTAAATAGCTGTCCTGGCCCCAGCCAAAGCTTTCAATGTTAATTAGTTCCTATGAACTGACTCAAAACTTATGGATATGATGGCTGATTACTTTTTATTTCTTCTTTTTTTCCTTCATTGACTTTTTGGATGTCTTTGAACCTAAATCTGTACTTCTAATCTTCATCTCTTATCTAATCAACACAATATAATTTGGGGATCATTTTAGTAATGGAACACTTTCATTCATGAGAATATTATAAATAAAGCGTAAGCTAAGGACTTTGGCCCTTTCTTACCTCATCCTCACCCTACAGGATTTCCCTTAATCTCTTGGTCAGGAAATCCTTGGATCACCACCTTTTTTCTTCGAAATGGAGAGTGCTTCATTCTTTTCTGGTTGTACACACATAATCCATACTTCTTGTAAAAAGTTTATTAAACATAAATATAAAGGCACAATAACCACCTTTTATTTTTTATTTTTAAGATTTTATTTTTCCTTTTTCTCCCCAAAGCCCCCCGGTACATAGTTGTATATTTTCAGTTTTGGATCCTTCTAGTTGTGGCTTGTGGGACACCGCCTCAGCATGGCCTGATGAGCGGTGCAGTGTCTGCGCCCAGGATCTGAACCGGTAAAACCCTGAGCTGCGGAAGCAGAGCGCGCGAAGTAACTACTCAGCCATGGGGCCGACCCCACCTTTTATTTTTTTATATCTCCTTCCAAACTTTTTCTACACACATATAAACATGTATATATTTTAAAAAATGGTGCCATAAATGTACACTGTAATCATCTCTCTGCACAGAAAAATGAAGCATGAACATATTTCTTTGTGGGCAAATAGAGCTTCATATTATCATCCTAATAGTTGCTCGGTATTCCTTACGCAGATACGGCATGATGTATTTAACAGACTGACCCTCCAATCTTGATCCAGGACATTGTCCAGAAAATTTTCCAGATATCACACCAATTTTTACCTCTTTTTTAGAGACTAGACTGTTTAGGTTTAAACTGCAAGTTTTAGCACTAAAAATAGAAACCCGGGGTACTGACGTCTGAGCCGTTACTCCTGTCAAGTCACATCCTGTGCACAGTGCCGCCGTTTTTCCACTGTGAAACGTTACTTGAACAGATTCTCAAAATAGCACTCCCTCTTTTTAGTATGCCAGCATCTCACTTGTGTTATCTGGCCCTCCCAAGCGGCCAGCAAGAATTCTCAACTCCTCGGCCCCGGAGTCCCTCTGTCGCTGTGTCAGACCAGACTTAGCAGTCAGGGCATAATGTCGGGGAGCCGCAGGCAGTTGGACCCTTGGGACAGCAAGTGGGAATGCAGACTTGTGGAGCTGGCCAGCTCCCTGTCTCCACCCATGGCAAGAGATCTTGGTGTCATGCATAGTAGTGATCTGAGTTGGGGATAAAAGGTCAGGGGTACAGGCTTATGGTGTACTCCAAACCCAGCCTAACCAGCTCCCATTTTGTATTTGCTGTTACCTGTAAATTACAGGGCAGGTTTAGGGAGGTTCTAGATTTTTCAACTCTCTAATTTTCACTCAATGTAGTATAATTTAGTAAAAGAGTACGGCCTTCAGATACAGTCTTAGGTTCAAGACTAGATCTACCACTCATTATTTATGAGACCCGGTACATAAGCACTAAACAAATGCTTATTGAATACATGTGTGGAATGTATGTCTGTGAATTTCAGCTTCCCCAGTTGTAAAATGGTACCAGTTCACAGGGCTGTTATGAGAACCATTTGACGAATGCACAATCGGCATATAAAAGGTGTGCCGTAAATTTGAGCTGCTACTTTATCATTCTCAGAAGAAAAATTAGAGCTCTTCTTACCAGAATCAGTTTTATAGCCCCCTCATCAGATTTATTCGTTCAACAAGTATTAAACAGGTGTTGTGATAAGTACTGAGGAAACATGTTGAATAAGACACTGTCCAGGGCTACAATCTAGAAATATCAATTCATTCATTCATTGAACACATATTTATTCACTGCCTATTAATCAGGTACTGAGAACACAGTCATCTACCTCCAAAATATTTCTTGTATCTCTCTGCTTACCTCCGTCTCCATTGTCATCATTCTGTGTACTCCATCCACAGCTTCCTAACTGTTCTCCCTGCTTCCATTCTTGACTCTTTTAAACCCTTTTATATCCAGAGTGATCTTTTAACACTGTAAATCTGATCATGCTATTCCTTTGTTAAAGCATAAAATCCCATTTAGAATAAAACACAAACTTCTTACCTTGGCCGGAACAGCCCTGTATGACCTAGCCCCTTCCTACATCTTTAATCTCACCTTAGCCCACCTGTATTGCTCTCTCTTCGTGCCTACCTTCCACAGATTGTCAGTGCCTAGAACCAGTCAAGCTCTTTTCTACCTCAGGGGCTTTGCATATGCTGTTCCCTCCATCTGGAATGCCATCTCCTAGTCTCTTTGCATGACAGGCTTCTCATCTTTCATGTGTCAGTCTAAAGGTCGCCTTCTCAGCGAAGTCATCCTTAATAACCATGATTTATTCCCTAACACAGCATCTTGTTTATTTCCTTCTTACTGTTTTTTAGAATCTCCATTTATTGTTTCTATTTCTTTGCTTATCTGTTAGTTGTCTGTCTCTCCCGTTAGAACATAAGCCCCATGAAGGCAGGAACCTTGTCTCTTATTCATTGCTTGCTCTTTATTGCCTAAGACTGTGCCTGCCACATGGTAGGTACTTGATAATTTGTTACATGGCAGAACGAATTTCTATTATTTGAAAACCTCCAGGAAGAGAATTCTGAACCTCAGGTGAGCACATTCTAGGATAGATGTCTTTTGATGTGAAAAGTTATTTTTATGTTGGGCAAAATAAAAAAAAATTGATGGAATGCAACCTGGAGAGGAGAGGGAGAGTCAGTCTCCTCCAGGAGACGAGCCGTGAGGAGGACACTCCAGCAGCAGAGAAGTTAAAACTCATTTGTATTTAGGGACTGAATGAGTTACTTCTCCACTGTCCTCTAAGGAACGCGTCATGGTAAAGATGAGGGTTTTGGAGCCAGGAGCCTGGATTCACATCCCTGCCCCACCAGCTATTAGCTGTATGGCTGTGGGAAGGTTAGGTAATAGCTCCGAGTCCTTTTGAGTGAGATATGGACCCCAGAATCTGCTACAGAGTTAAGTACTCAGTACATGTTAATCAAAAATTATTCTTTTTATTCTGCTAAAAAGATTTTCTTAGACATACTATTGCCCGTTTAAAAGACACTGACAACCAGGGGCTAGCACAGTGCTGGGTATGCCAGAGATGCTTAAAAAGTGAGAGTGCAATTTCGCAGAGTGCAATGGTCCTCAAACTCGAGTGTGCATCCGAGTCAGCTGGAGGGCTGGTTAAAACACAGATTGCTGGCTCCCTCCATGAGTTTCTGATTCAGCAGTTCTGGTGAGTCCTGAGAATTTGCATTTCTAACAAGTTTCCAGGTGATGCTGAGGCTGCTGATTTGGGGACCTCACTTTGAGAATGATGGGCAGTGGCTAAGTACACCAACTCTCGTGCGAGACTGGCTGAGTTCACGTCCCAACTATACCTCCTCACTACATATATGATCTGGGGTGAGTTGCTTAATCCTCTGGCCCGAGTTCCCTCATCTGAAAGCAGAGATAATAACAGAGCCTTCCTCTAGTGGTTGTTATGAGGTAGAAATGAGGGTTTACATATCATAATTGTTCAATGCATACTGATTGTTAGCTGTTAATAAAAACCAATTTAAATGAATGTATAACAGTGCTATCCAGTAGAAGTCTCTGGGGTTATGTAAATGTCCTATTCTATGCTGTGCAATTCAGTGGCTACTAACTACATGTGGCTCCTGAGCACTTGAAATGTGGCTAGCACAATTTAAGAGATGAATGTTTGTCAATTAATTTTAATTAATTTAAATTTAAATAAACACATGTGGCTAGAAAAGCACAAACGTCTAGTTAGAACTCCTTCCCGAGACCTGGGCGGAGGCTGCTTGTGGCTCTTTGGAAGCTGACAGCCCAGGTGGATGTGAAGACCTGGGTGTGTGTGGGTCTACACTTTCTAACAGCTTGATCCTAAGAGAGCAGCTCAGTTTCTCAGCAACACAACCTCCCCTGTAAAGTGGGAATAATAACACGTGCCCTGATTCCTCAGAAATTCTCTATGCACCTTATCGTGATAATTAATGTAAAATCAAAAACACAACACAATTGCAAGGATTTCTGTAAAGCTTTATAGCAGGTTCCCAGACCTGCTTTGAGGGCAATGGCTCATCACCCTCAGCCTTATGTGTCCACAGTGCCCGACACATAGTAGATCCTGAGTTTAAAAGCAGCCTCCGTGCAGAATGTCTTCTAATTTGGCCTGCATATCTCAGCACTCTAGGACATGTAGCAAGAAGAAGGAAATATCTACATTATTTTCATCACAACAATATGCCTTAGAAAAGCTGTCATCTAGAGGCTGGCCCGGTGATGTAGTGGTTAAGTTCGCTCACTCCGCTTCAGTGGCCCTGGGTTCACAGGTTCAGATCCTGGGTGCAGACCTAGCACCACTCATCAAGCCATGCTGTGGCGGCATCCCACATAAAATAGAGGAAGACTGGCACAGATGTTAGCTCAGGGCCAATCTTCATCACACGCGTGCACACACACACAAAAGCTATTGTCTAAAAGTCTTTTTTTTAAAAGATTGACACCTGAGCTAACATCTGTTGCCAATCTTCCTTTTTCTTCTTCTTCTTCTTCTTCTTCTTCTTCTTCTTCTTCTTCTTCTCCCTGAAGCCCCCCAGGACATGGTTGTATATTCTAGTTGTAGGTCCTTCTGGTTGTGCTATGTGGGATGCCACCTCAGCATGGCCTGATGAGCGGTGCTAGGTCCACACCCAGGATCTGAACCACAGGCCGCTGAAGCGGAACACACAAATTTAACCAGTCAGCCACAGGGCTGACCACCTCCAAAAGTCTTTTTAAAGTAATGTTTATTTTGTCCCAATTGTAAATAATTCATAGTCATTTTAAAAATTGGAAAATGCAGAATATTATAAAGAAAAAAGTGTAATTCTTCCACAATCCCTCTACCTAGAGATAACCTTCATCAATATTTTGAGGCATTTCTTTTCAATTTTATAAGTGTGGGTGCATATTCATTCATCCAACAAATATTTTTTGAGTATCTGCTATGGGCAGACACTTTTCTTGGTGATGGTACTACAGCAACGAGCAAAAGACACCAAAAACTTTTTCCTCATGGAGCTTACATTCTACTGGATGATATTTGAAGACTCAGGAAAATATATATACAAATTTAAAAACAAAATCAGGCTAATGTTGTTTACACTGTTATGTGTGTTATTTACTGTTTCCATTATGTTGGGAGTGTTTTCTAATTTTCGTTTTCTTAAAGCAGATCTGTCCTTACATTCATTGCCTGCTGAGACAACCCACAGGGCTTGCTGAGGCAAAAGGAAAAATAAACCCTTAAGGTATGTCTTCAGGAACTTTAGCCTGGGGCATGATGTTCTTAGGGGATCGATTGGACTGCCCAGTACTGTGTCCCTTGGAGTATCCTGTCCAGAGCCAAAGAATCCCAAGCCCAGGACTCAACGTTCACATCTCAGATTTTACTGAGTCTTCAGGCATCACCGTTTCGTCTTGTGGCTCTGAAACATTTCTTTAGTTTTTTTTTTTTTTTTTAAGGAAGATGAGCCCTGAGCCAACATCTGCCAATCCTCCTCATTTTTGCTGAGGAAGATTGGCCCTGAGCTAACATCTGTGCCCATCTTCCTCTATTTTATATGTGGCACACCTGCCACAGCATGGCTTGACAAGCTGTGCTGTGCCCGCACTGGGGATCCGAACTGGCGAACCCCGGGCCGCCTAAGTGGAATGTGCAAACTTAACCACTGTGCCACTGGGCTGGTCTTCTTTAGTTGTTAAAAAGAAAGTCTTCTGGAGTGATCAGGATCCACTTTGTTCATGGCCCTTCTCTCTTCTATTCTGGTATGATTAACCTGGCTAATTACTCTGCCCCTTTGCAGGCTCAGATGAAAACGACTACAACTCAAATCCTGAAAGAGGCTTCTAAGTCAGAGTAATGAGGAGCATGGGCAGTGAGGAGCAAAGCTCATACTACGATGGGGGGCTGTAGCTGCTGGACAGAGAACAAGGACAGTTTGCCCCCTTCTGTGCCTTGGGCCATTACCACTACGGCCCCCTCCTTTTCACACAGATTCCCTCTCTTCTTGTTTCTTCCCATTCCTCCTGTGTCCCATGGCCCCATGTTCTTTGTCCCCTAGAGTCTGCAAAAAGGAGAAAGAGCCCCTATTTCCTCAAACCATCAAGGGCAAGGATCTTGTCTGACTTGGGAATAAAAGGACAAATCCATGAATAAACAAAATTGTTGCATAGAGGGAAGTATTATGTTGATGGGCCTCAATGTAAATCATCAAGAAGGATTGTTTTTCATCTCTTGTCTAGAGGGGAACAAGGAAGATGTCCATTGGTTGCTGTTGTCTGCCCATCAAAGGCTTGAGCCAGGACAGAGTCTAGAAATGAGGAGGCATTCTAAACAATGAATAGCACCACAGAGCTCTACATGTTGAAAACAATAGCTAACCTTTCTCGCTGCTTCAGGATTTTGCTGCTGATAATTTCAGATGACATCTCTGCTTCTCTTCTTTTGTTCCTTTCCACATTCTTCACCACACCATTCATGCTGACAGTCCATTCATGTTGCTAATAGTTCTATGCAAAATGCAACCATTAGCAAGGAAGGGCTTTGCTACTGGATGAAGAGACAGTATAATGTAGTATAAGAGTGTGGACAAGTGCTGTCCGATGGAAATAGATGGCAAGCCGTGAATGTCATTGAAAATTTTCTCATGGCCATATTGAAAAAGAAAAGAAATAGATGAAACTAATTTTAATCATCTCTTATTGAACCCTGTGTATCCAAAATATCATTTCAACATGTAATCGATAAAAAAAATTGTTAATGACATATTTTATATGTTTCATACTAAGTTGTCAAAATTTAGTGTGCATTTTATACTTATAGTATGTCTCAGTTCTGACTGGCCACATTTCATTGGCTTAACAGCGACATGGGCTGGTGGGCACTGGCAGTGCAGATATGGGCTCTATAGCCAGAGTACCTAAGGGTGTAATTCTGGGAAAGTTACATAATCTCTGTGCTTCAGCGTCCTCATCTATTAACTGGGGAAATGGTAGTCCCTACCTCATTTAGAATTGTTATGAGGATTAAATGAGCACTTAGGTCATTGTCTGACACAGACCTGGCACTCAGTAAATGTTAGCTCTTATCCTCAGATATACATTTAACCACATCCTTATAATGATCAATGCAATCTTTCAGTAAGGACCTACTCTAGGCTTTCTAAGTAGGGACTGTATGTCTGAGATCTTGCAATGATGAAAATCACATGCCACTTCACAATTCCTCTGTCACTTCAAACAAAGGCTATCCGGGAGAGTTTGATCTGAAGATGTGCTTTTACAAAGCTGGGTAACCTGTAACTTGACAAACTTCTTTAGACTATTAAGTCTGCAAATAGTTTATCACTGAATTTTCCAGATAAGCAGTATTATATTTTTATTGGGATATAAAATTAGGTTCACAGCTATAAAATTATCCCAGCTTGCTTTTTCATGCTCTCTTACGAGAAGTGAAACCACGCTTCACTACAGTAAGAAGATAGCACTCGTCTTCCTGAGACTATGGCTTACAGCCACAAATCCATATTAATATCACAGGATATATTTGGGGGCTTGAGCAGCATGATACATAAATTATTACCTGGGCACTTGTATGACAGCATTTGAATAAACAACAGAGTAATTCTACCACAGTTGTCTTGGGTCACTTAAAAAATATATTTTAGAATTTTCCAGATCTCTAATTCTTTCATTTATTTATATATTCACTCATTTATTCATTCAACTATCTGTTTAGTCAACAACTATGTATTGTGGGCTTACTATGGACCAGAAACTTTGCTAGGTACTGAGGAGTCGATGGTGAGCAGAACATATGGTCCCTGCCCCACTGAGTTTACAATCCACTGGGAGAGAAAGACGTTAATCAAATAATCATGCAAATAAAACTGGCAATAGCATAATGACTATTAAGACGAGGAAGTGTTGCTTTGAGAGATTTGAGGAAGGAATTTTATTTGGTCAGGGAAGTTTTCCCTAAGGAAGTGCTGATGGGGTGGAGAGCTGGAAGAGTAGGAAGAGTTAACCAGGTGGAGAAAGGAGGGAACTGCATTCCAGCCAGAGGGAATAGCTGGACGGAAGACCTGAGGTGGCAGGGGCATGGTGAGAGGGAGAGACTGAAGGAGAGCTGTGGGCCTGAAATAGTGAGGGCAGGTGGGCTCAGGTTTAGCTAGAGATGTAAGTAGAACCAGACATCACAGGTTCTTGACAGCCACATTAAGGATTTTATATTTACATGAAGAGCATTAGGAAGCTGTCATTGGGTTTCCAAAACTTGAGAATGCTTTTCTTTTACTGGATCAAACCTCACTTTGATTCTTTGTAATTGTGATTAAATATAAATATTGGGACACCAAGACATAGAAACCAAGAAGTGGGCTACACATGTCCCTTATTCCCCATCAAGAGCAAACCAAATTGACAGCCACACTAACTCTTGCTTCTGGTCCTCCCTTTAGTTGCTCTTCTCCAGTTATCCAACCAACTCTGAGCCTCAGTCTTTGTGTTTCTCCCCTGGTGTTTGGGAGAGAAGACAACAGAGGAATTTTGACTATAGTTTAAATGAGAACCCCTGAATAGACCAATTGTTCCAGAAAAGAAAGTGAAGATCTTACATATTTTAAGTCAGACCAGTGAGTCTTAATTCTGGGTAGGAGACAAAGAGGGAAGACATGATCAGATTTGCCTTTTAAGATGATAACTACTGGGACAACATCAAGGACACTAACATCCACATTATAGGTGTACCAGAAGGAGAAGAGACAAAGGGGCAGAGAATGTATTTGAAGGAATAAAAGCTGAAAACTTTCATAACCTAAGGAAGGAAGCAAACATGCCAGCACAGGAAGCACAGAGAGCACCCAACAAGATAAACCCAAAGAGGCCCATACCAAAACGCATTATAATTAAAATGTCAAGAATTAAAGATAAAGAGAGAATCCTAAAATCTGCAAGGGAAAGGCAGCAAGTTACATACAAAGGAAACCCCCAAAGGCTATCAGCTGCCTTCTCAGCAGAAACCTTACAGGCTAGAAGGGAGTGGCTCAACATATTTCGAGTGCTGAAAGGAAAAAGTCTACAGCCAAGAATACTCTACCTGGCAAGGCTGTCATTCAGAATGGAAGGAGAGATAAAGAGTTTTCCAGACAAGTAAAAACTAGAGGAGTTTATCACCAATAAACCAGCCTTACAAGAAATGCTAAAGGGACTTATTTAAGTGGAAAAGAAAAGACCAGAAATAGGAATAAGAAAATTACACCAAAAAAAGAACCATAAAATCACTGGTAAAGTCAAATATACAGTAAAGGTAGCAGATCAACCACGTATGAAGCTAATATGAAGGTCAAAAGACAAAAGTACTAAAATTATCTATTTCCAGGATAAAAGGGTAATGGATATACATGCACAAAAAAAGAGGTTAGGTATGATATCAAAAACATAAAATGTGGGAGGAAGGGAGTAAAAGAGTAGAGCTTTAGCAAACTTAAGAGACCATTAACTTAATATAGATTGCTATATATGTAGGTTATTATAGATAAGCCTAAAGGTAATCACAAACCAGAAACCTATAATAAATACACAAAAAATTAAGAGAAAGGAACCCAAACATAAGACTAAAGAAAGCTGTCGAGCCACAAGGGGAGAGAGCAAGAGAAGAAGAAAGATGCAGAGAAGAACTCCTAAAACCCGGGGGGAAAAAATGGCAATAAGTACATACTTATCAATAGCTACTTTAAATGTCAATGGACTAAGTGCTCCAATCAAAAGACATAGGGTGGCTGATTGAATAAAAAAACAAGACCCATAAATATGCTGCATACAAGAGACACACACTTCACACCTAAAGACATTCACAAACTGAAAGTAAAGGGATGGAAAAAGATACTCCATGCAAATAACAATGAAAAGAAAGCTGGGGTAGCAATGCTTATATCAGACAAAAACAGACTTTAAAACAAAAACTGTAACAAGAGACAAAGAAGGGCACTACATAATAATAAAGGGAACAATCCAACAAAAGGATCTAACACTCGTGAATATCTATGCACCCAACATAGGAGCACCTAAATATATAAAGCAATTATTAGCAGACATAAAAGGAGAAATAGACAGTGACACAATAATAGTAGGGGACTTTAACACTCGACTTACACCAATGGATAGATCATCCAAATAGAAGATCAATAAGGAAACATTTGGTCTTAAATGACACATAAGACCAGATGGACTTAGTAGACATATACAGAACATTCTACTAAAAACTGCAGAATACACATTCTTTTCAAGTGCACATGGAACATTCTCCAGGATAGATCACATATTAGGCCACAAATCAGGTCTCAATAAATTTAAGAAGATTGGAATAATACCAAGCATCTTTTCTGACTACAACTGTACAAAACTTGAAATCAATTACAGGAGGAAAATTGGAAAAGCCACAAATATGTGGAGATTAAACAAGATGCTACTGAACAACTATTGGGTCAATGAATAAATCAAAGGAGAAATTAAAAAATATCTGGAGACAGATGAAAATACAACATGCCAAAATTTATGGGATACAGCAAAAGCAGTTCTAAGAGGAAGGTTAAAGCAATACACTCCTACCTCAACAAACAGGAAAAATGCCAAATAAACAATCTAACAGTGCACATAAAGTAACTAGAAAAAGAAGAACAAACAAAGCTCAAAATCAGTAGAAGGAAGGAAATTAGAAATCAGAGCAGAAATAAATGAAATAGAGACAAAAAAGATCAAAGAAACTAAGAGCTGGTTCTTTGAAAAGATAAAAAAAAGTGGCAAAGCTTTAGCTAGACTCATCAAGAAAAAAAGAGAGAAGGCTCAAATAAGTAAAATCAGAAATGAAAGGGGAGAAATTACAACAGACACCTCAGAAATACAAAAGATTACAAGATAATACTGCAAAAAGCTATACATCAACAAATTGGATAATCTAGAAGAAATGGATAAATTCTTAGAATCATACAACCTTCCAAAACTGAATTAAGAAGAAACAGAGAATTTGAATAGACCAATCACCGGTGAGGAGATTGAAACAGAAATCAAAAACCTTCCCAAAAATAAAAGTCCAGGACCAGATGGCTTCCCTGGTAAATTCTACCAAACACTGAAAGAAGACTTAATACCTATCCTTCTCAAACTCTTGCAAAAATTGAAGAGGAGGGGAAGCTTCTTAGCTCACTCTACAAGTCCAACATTACCCTGATACCAAAACCAGACAAGGACTAACACAAGAAGTAAAATTACAGGCCCATATCACTGATGAACATTGATGCAAAAATCCTCAACAAAATACTAGCAAATCCAATACAACAATACATTAAAAAGATCATACAACATGATCAAGTGGGATTTATTCCAGGGATTCAGGGATGGTTCAACATCCACAAATAAATCAACGTGATACACCACCTTAACAAAATGAAAAATAAAAATCACACGATCATCTCAATAAAGGCAGAGAAAGCATTTGACAAGAGACAGCATCCATTTTTGATAAAAATTGTGAATAAAATAGGCATAGAAGGAACATAGTTTGACATAATAAAAACCATAGATGACATACCCACAGCTAATATGATACTCAATGGAGAAAAACTGAAAGCTATCCATCTAAGAACAGGAACCAGACAAGGATGCCCACTTTTGCCACTCTTATTTAACATAGTATTGGAAGTCCTAGCCAGAGCCATCAGGCAAGAAAAAGAAATAAAAGGGATCCAAACTGGAAAGGAAGAAGTGAAACTCACTATTTTCAGACGACATGATTTTATATACAGAAAACCCTAAAGTATCCACCAAAGGACTTCTAGAAATAATAAATGAATATGATAAAGTTGCAGGATACAAAATAAACATATAAAAATCAGTTGCATTTCTATACACTAACAACAAAGTAGCAGAAAGAGAAATCAAGAACACAATACCATTTACAATTGCAACAAAAAGAATAAAATACCTGGGAATAAATTTAATCAAAGCGGTGAAAGACCCACACACTGAAAACTATAAAACATTGTTGAAAGAAACGGAAGAAGCCACAAAGAATTGGAAAGATATTCCATGCTCCTGGATCAGAAGAATTAACATAGTTAAAATGTCCATACTGCCTAAAACAATCTACAGATTTAATACAATCCCTATCAAAGTTCCAGTGACATTTTTCACAGAAATAGAACAAAGAATCCTTTGTTCTATTGATAGAAAAAATTATATGGAACAACAAAAGACCCCACATAGCCAAAGCAATCCTGAGAAAAAAAGAACAAAGCTAGAGGTATCACATTCCCTGATTTCAAAATATACTACAAAGCTGTAGTAATCAAAACAGCATGGTACTGGCACAAAAACAGACACACAGATCAATGGAACAGAACTGAAAGCCCAGAAATAAACCCACACATCTATGGACAGCTAATTTTCAACAAACGAGCCAAGAACATACAACAGAGAAAGGAAAGTCTCTTCAATAAACAGTGTTGGGAAAACTGGGTGGCCACATGCAAAAGAATAAAAGTAGACCATTTTCTTATATCATACACAAAAATTAGCTTAAAATGG